TAGTCTTCATCTTTTTTAGCTACAAAGAAAAATATCATGCTTTTTGCCAATCATTTCATACACACGCAACAGAACTTTCAGAAGTAAGTTTCCTTCAAGAGTCTGATTTAGTTTTTCATGGCCATTCAACATTTACAGGAGAGAAAAGAGGGGAGGACGTTAGACTGAGATTTTGCTCGGTGCCTGGGTCCATGCTGTGTGATATAAACCTGTGATATGCTTGTACCGCATAACTGTGTGGTGTTGTACCTGAATTTAAGTGACCATCAGAGATCTCTGTGCTAAAGATCTGGAGTGACAGTATGGGAACACGGTTGAATTTTAGGGTGGTAGGGCCTATTGGGAGGTCCTTGGGTGACTGAAGGCATGACCTTGACCTTTACCTTGACCGTGGTCTCTGCGCCCTTGTTCTTTCCCTCTTTTACCTCCTCAATCACGAGATGAAAGTTTTCTCTTCCCATCCGATACACTGCCTCACCACAGGCACAAAAGCAATAGACTCAGTTTTCACTAAGACTGAGTGGACTGTGGACCAAAATAACCCTTTTTCCTTATAAACTTACCATCTCAGGTATTTGGTATCATGATGGAAATCTGACACATGAGACCAACATTTTATTTCAAAGATAGAAAACTCAAACTGAGAAAGCATAATTGCCCAAAGATATCTAACAAGTAGAGTAACAAAGATTTAAGCAAGTTTTCCAACAGGGGACACTGATTCTATTCTAAATATATAGATTTTTAAAATTATTTGTATTCATATTCAAATGTTAAATATTTCCAGTGATGTCACTATTACTTAAAATAGTGAAATTGAGTTTGATTTAATTTTTGAGAGTAAAAATTTTATTTTGCTTCTAGGGTGTACACACTACTTTGTAAAATGTGTGCATGGAAATTATGTGGCTTCTGTCCTCAGTAAAAGAAATGATTTGCATGTAAGAGGGCACTTAGGGCTAGACAAGAAACCCAGGGGGTCAGGAAGGATATAATGCACTGGGGTGTAAGGACAGATAGGCCTTAGGTGGGACTAGAGGCTGCTGGATGCAGTCAGACACAACTCTTCACTCCTCACTGTGGTCAGCAATATGGGCATAACTGCAGCTCCTGCAGGGTGGGCACCTCAGAGAGGCAGGACCAGGCAGAGGGTAGGAGATGGCAGAGTAGAATGTGCATGAGTGACTCATTCATTTAAACCTTTATTTCCTATCTTTAAGATAGCAGAAGATTGTCAAAGGCTTTGGTGAGTGACTGATCTGAAAAATGGGCCTGTTGAAGTCTGGACATTCCTTTCTCATAAGAAGCTGATACTACTTTATTATTACATTTTTGAAATTGTAATTCTTATTGCATTGTAAGTACAGTAGATGGTACATCTTAATCCAAAGCTCCTTGTTTACTTTAATCCATAAAGCAAATAGAGCGAAGTAAAACCATGAAAATAAAAGGCAACTTTGAGCCTCACAGTGGTGGTATGGTGGAGAGGGAGAGAAATACAACAGTATTAAGGAGTCACTGGAGACTTAGCTTAGTGGCCTGTAGTTAGCCCAGACTCCAAGAACCTTATAAACAGGAAAAATTAATCTTCTATTCCACCCAGGGGAAGTGTATAATTTTTCTTTAATCTACAAACAAAAACTTGTACATTTAGTGACAAAGTAAATATTGCCATCCGCTAACTTTTTCATGACACTGTACTTGTTGCTTAGGAAAGAGTAATCAGGTCAGATTTTGATCGAATGCCATCCTAATTATCAAGATTGAGGGCATCCTACAGCAGCGATATATAAAATAATGTGACATAAAAATTGTAGCCTGAACTTAAAAGCAAACTAAACCAAAACAAGAAAGAAAATTTACAAGGCAAAGTTACTGAGGCTTGGAGACTCATCTTTTCAGGTGAAAATATTTGAGCTCTCTAGTTCCACTGGAAACAGTGGCCTTAATGTATGGGAAGATTTTTTTAAAGCTTTGGAGTATTACTACGTTGCCAATATTTGCTGTGTTTGATGGGCAGATTTGCCACTTATGATGACAATTTCATGGCAATCAATCCATTTATCCTCCTTGGTTGTCAGCTTGACGGTTTTTCGTTCAGAGAAAGAGACACAAACAGGATGGGGGAGGCAAAATCACCTTTTATTCCGTATGGAAGTTTGAAAGAGTTTGCATTTTGAGTTTATCTAGAGTCATTTACTTAGCAGGAATAAGTATGTTTTATTCATGTACAGTGTGTTTCATTTGTATACTGAAGGAAATTATTAGTTAAGTTCTATCTTATAGAGATGGGAAGGGAATATATTCCAGTATCACTTGGTGTCATAAACAATCCTATCCAGCATCTCACAAATTGACTAGAAAACAGACACTTTTGACATTATTTATGAGGCAAGTTTATTTTAGTCCCTATGATAGCAAACAGGATATGAGCGTTGGCATAAGATTTGTCTCTTACTCTGAATCTGCTGGGTGCCTTTATGCCTTACTGTTACTGAGGGCTGAGGGCCCGTTACTGGTACCAGGACAGTTAAGAGCAGTAGCCAGCACATCATTCACACATACCTTACTGAGGGAATTAATTTCTTCTTTTCAGAGGAAACTAATTTCTTATATTGCATGTCTGTGACATATTCTTTCAAATTCATACTGTTTTCATGGACATGACAAAAATCTATTTTTAATTTGTAATCATAGCAACTATAGAAATAAATGAAGTTTAAAAGTAGGTGTTTTTCCTATAAATTTAGGGTTAGATAGAATCTTTTTAAAATTTAGAATTAATTCAAAGGCTAAAGCATCCCACAGCAGTGATACATAAAATAATGTGACATAAAAATTGTAGCCTGAAATTTAAAAGTAAACCAAACCAAAAAAAGAAAGAAAATGTGCAAGGCAAAGTTAGGCTTGGAGACTCATCTTTTCAGGTGAAAGTATTGTTTTGTAACTATTTCCTGTAAGCATTTCAGCTATAAGGAAACATTTCTATACTTTGACCTGAGGGCCTACTATGTTAATCATTCTAACTCTCTGGATTGCAAACTGATAAAATTGTGAGACTGAGAGAAGATAAATCTGTAAGGAAAATATAATCAGAATCATTATGTACTGAGTCATCCGTCCTTATGTGGTGCCATTTCTCCTCCAGAAGAAGTGAATGAAATATATTCATTCCAGCCACGGTAAAGTGCTATTTAAGCAAACTCCATGTACAAAGTCTTGCAAACTCACATTTGATCAAATAATTCATGAGGAATGGAGACGTTCACAGGCATGCGAATGAACAAGGGACACCATGAGGGTCTGGGGTGAAGAGGGTGCACTGTCAGGAGCTCAAAAGCAGGGTACCCTCTAAAGGAAATTGGCCTTTTCTGAGCACTGAGATGGACTAGGATGGGCATCCATTCTTGTTGAGCCCTACACTAGAGCAACAGGATTATTAATTATGCAAACATTTTTTTTGATGGGTAAAAGAATGAGAATGACTCAGCAAGCGATTTCAAAAGCAATGCCTCTACCTCCTTACTGAACATGTTCTGTCTGCTCTACGTCCCTGGGGTTAAAAGTTTAAGACACACAGGAGGGACTTAGTGCAGCAGGTCTCTGAGGAAGCCCCCCTGTTTTGCGCAGAACACAGAATCAGTTTAGTTCCACCTAGTTTTTCTGTTTTATTAGTTTACGGTGAAAATATTATACTTCTTCAAGATTAGCTTATTACTTTTCTGTTACAGCCATAGTAAAACCTGATCAAATTTCCAAAGGAACAATGGGCTCTACCTGTCAAAGGGATACGTGCGTGTGTGTGTGTGTGTGTGTGTGTGTGTGTGTGTGTGTTTCATACTTCTCTCTAGATGGAACTTTGTAGGTTGATAGTAACTTGGAAAGGGGCTGTGTTTGTCTAATAAAGATGTAAAAGCAACAGACTGTGTTTTACAAGTCCCCGCTAAAGTGACAGCTAAAGATTTAGTTGGAAAAGCACAGCTCCCCATCCCCAGTCGCCTAGAAGCTTGGGAGAACAGTCATCTCACCTATTTTGGAAACTACTTGCAGATGTGGGGAAACCTCGGAATTGCTCTCTCTCTCTCTCTCTCTCTCTCTCTCTCTCTCTCTCTCTCTCTCTCTCTCTCTCACCGGTTTTTGCAGATTTCCTCTGATATTTTCCCTCCTCAATTTCCCACAACCTGTGTTTGTCTTGAGTCTGCTGGGTTGACATGTGGTTTACCTCCGCGGATCCAGCTGCCAGGTTTTACACACTCTTCTCCTCCGAAGTAAAACAAGTGAAGCCTAAGGATACCGAGCCACTCTGGGCTTGGGCGCCAGAACTGTCACAGAAAATTTGCTTGCCGAGGATTCCATCCAACTTCTCTTCCTGCGCCCACGTGAGCCTCAGCGCCAGCCCATCAGCGAGGTCTTAGCGTTTCCTGCTGCTGCTGCTGCTGCTGCTGCTGCAATCTGTAACTCGATTTTGGATTTTTTTTTTTTTAATTGCAGCTTTGCAGATCTTAGTTCTGAGCAAAAGTTTGTGGGATAGACTTTTACAGTATTATATTTTGTTCCTTAAATCGTGAAGGTCGTATGTTTTTTCTCTTTCCTAGGGCTGCAAAAAAGCCAAAAAACAGCAAAGGAAAGAAATACACACTCGCTGTTTATTTGGGGGAAGGGAAAATTTTTTCAGTGAAGTTGTCAGATGCCTCTCGCCACCCCCAGTCTGGCACTCTTAGTCGACACATTCATCATCTATTAACTGCTCTTCGAGGACGAAGATACACATAATGTATTCATTTTTATCTTGAGTAAAATAGAAATGAAATCGTGTGCGCGCTTTTGTCTGTTTGTTTGTTTAAGGCTATCAAAAGAAGTCAGAGACAAGGCTGTGGCCCGGATCCTGACCCTGATTGTATGAATAAGTAAGCAGGATGCGAGTGATTGGGTTAGATGCTGCGAAGATTTTTTTTTTTTTTTTTTTTTTTTTTTTTTCAAGTTAGGAAGAGAGTAAAAAAGACAGCCTGGGGGAAAAAGGCAAACAGCGCTTCCCCAAATCCTCACACTTTAGCTCTCCTTGCAGTCAGTGGCTTCTCCGGCTCCTGCAGGCTTTTAAGGTCTCGCAGCGCAGACATGCCTGGCCCCCACCCCCTTCCTCGGTCTCCCCTTTCAGTTCAGATGTGCTGATGTGCAGACCGGATTCATCTTCCCGGAGCTGCGGCGGCGGATCGCTCTCGGCCGCGGGGTCCTGACAGCGGCGGGGGCGCGGCGCGGAGCCCGAGCTCCGGGGCAGCAGAGCCGCGGCCGCGGGAAGTTCGGCTGCCCAGAAGGACGACCTGGCCGGAGCCGGCGCCCGCGCCGCCCAGCAGAGTTGACCCGCAGCCGCCCCTGCACGCCGCCCGGAGCAGAGCACCTCACCTGCCCTCCGCCCAGCCGTGGGATCCCCCGCCAAAGCCCTCAGCAGCCGGGGTCCGGGGCAGCGCGCGCCCCGCATGTCTCGGGACACCTGAGCGCCCGGGCGGCCGAAGAGCTTCTGCGCTGGGAGAGCGCGGCAGTGCCCCGGCCCCGCGCGCATCAGCCCCGGCCCGTGGTCCTGTCCCCTCCTTTTCCTCCCGGGGAGGAGGATGGGGCTGCTCGCGCTTTTGCTGAGGATGCTCCCGTGGCTGGTGGCCGCGGGGACTCTTTTCTGCGGAGGGCTGTGCGTCTCCGCTGGCCTCGACTACGACTACACTTTTGATGGGAGCGAGGAGGATAAGACGGAGACCCTCGATTACAAAGACCCGTGCAAAGCCGGTAAGTCGTCTCCAAGTCGCGAGCGCGGAGCCGCGGCGCTGGGCTCCGGATGGGCGGCGGTGGGCGCTCACCTGTTCCCTCGCCGCCCCTCCTTCTCCCCCTCCTTCTCTCCCCTTCCGTTCCTGCCCCTTCCCACCCCCGAGTGGCCGCGCCGCGGCCCGAGTAGACGAGTTCTGCGCTGCTGGCACGGGTGCCAAGCGCCTGTGCTCCAGTCCGAGTAAACCGTCCCGGAGTTTCTCCTCCTCCCCCAGCGAAACGAAACGACTCGCCGGCACCGCCAGCAGCGTTGGGCTTTAAACATCAACATTCAGCGGGTTTTGGGCATCCCTCGGGCACACCGCCTCGCCGGCTCCAGGGCGCGGGTTCCCCGCGTTCCTCCGGGGCCCAGGGGACAAAGTTCCTCAAAGGTGGGTGGGGACGGCATCGCTACCTCGGGACACCCTTGTTCCCTGCTCGTCGGAAATTTCAAGAGCACGTTCCAGGCTTGGTGGGCATTTAGACCACACAGAAGAACTCGTGTTTAGGTGGGATTCCAGCGCGTTTGACCTACAACATGTTTTTCCAAGTTGCTACCCCAACCTAACTTGAGTCTTCCTTCCTGCGAGTACCCGGGGAACCCCAGCCGACGCACACCGCCGGGAGCCAGGGCTGCGCGCCCGGCGGGGACGCCGCGGGCTCTGCGCGCCCTCCCTCCCGGGTTGGCGCCTCCGCGGTCCCGCCTCCGCAGGGCGGGGCTCACCTCCACCGCCCAGGTTGGAGCCCTGCGCAGCGCGGGCACCACGTGAGTGCGGCTGGCCCGTGGCGCCTCTCTGGGGGCTCCCAGTTTGTCCTCTGTCGGGTAGGGACGGGTGACTCTCAGCTCAGGCAGGACTCATAATTCACTCTGGAAAGGTTGTGAGGTTTGTGGGGTGCGCTCTGGGTAGCACCCTTTGTAGGCTGTTCCGGGCTGGAGCTCGGTGAGGGTGAGGAGGGGGTGGGCGAAGCTCCGCGCTCCCTCAGCTCCGCTCCGGATTCGTGGTTGGGTTGGTGCCTGGAATTGCCAGGTAAACCGTTTTCTCCCTTTCCTGCGCTTAAAGGAAGGAGACGTGTGCACAAGGGAAGGAAGATGCTGGAAATTCCCTGGTTAATTTTTACCTTTGATGACGCCTTAGTCTGAGAAGGAGAAGGAGGAGGGTGTGTGCATCAGGTTTAGTTTTTGAGATCTTTCTCCAAGAGCTCCCCGCACCCCAACAGAGATGCCTTTTCCCACTTGAGAGTGTTTTAGCGGACCCTGGCCTTTCTCAAACCTAGCATCCTTACTTAGAGTCTTGTTTGATGGCCTGAAGGATGGCACACTGCCAGGCCATAGTGCGCGACCAGCCTGAGTGTTCCTTAAAGGTACTTTTCGGTAGGAAATAGGTTTTGAGTCATAATTGTAACTTGACGAAAATTGTTTATTTATTTATTTATTTATTTATTTATTTATTTATTTATGTAATTGTATATAATCGATGAGACTGTTTAGAAAAGCAGTTTTGATGTTGTCCTGTGTGACTGAATGAGATCAATGTAAGATATTCACAGTGTACATTTCAACATACCTCAAGTATAGGTGTCTGTTTTCCTCAGCAAGTAAATGTCTAAGGCAAGGGAAAAGTTTCAGCAGTACCAAGTTTCTTTTTCCCTTTTGATACCGACATTTTTTTTTTTTAGCACAGCTATTGAAATTAAGAAAAGAGAACAATTTTGAGTGGATTACTAAACTTACCCCTTTATTTTTAAGTGGAAGAGGAATTATACTTGCATCTAATGGTATGTATAGTGAGAGAAAATAAGAATGTCCAAAGTGAAAGGCTAAGAAGTATACACAGAGCTCATTCTGTAGTCCAAGCTGGGTCTCGAACTCCCAACCCTTGTCTCAGCCTCCCAAGTGCTGGGATTAAAGTCAGCCTATACTGCATAGTGAGACCCTGTCTCATAAATAAATAAATAACTAGAAAAAAAAAAAGGAAAAGAAAAGAAACATGCACAGAATTTGAGATCCTTTTTAAATAAGCTGCCCTGATTTTTAAATGTAATGAAATGAAAAACTGTAGTTTACCATCTTTGCTACAGAATGGGAAGAATCACAGGGCTTCCCTTTTGACACTGTAAGACAAAAGTTGTAGTAACAGGAAAAACATTAATATGTTGAAATAAATCTCAAATCAAAGCCAAAAGACAGTCTTTGAAATAAGAAAGGGGAGGACAAAATTCTGAAGGCCATGCAAAAAGAGGAAGACAGGTGCGTGCCACATGAGGGAGGGGCCACCTCTGATCTGCCCTCTTCTTGCAAGCAGATTTCATGCCTTGGCCAGTGGAATGAAGGGCCATTTCTGGCCTTCCTAAGAAGGGACCTAGGGTTCCTTAAATTATACACAGGCTGGATGTCATACTGATGAACATGACTTTGTGATTTCAAAGCATTTTTTAAGTGATTAAGTTTATGGGGAATACTTTTGAAATATAAGGATCACATTCATCATAGGGAATGTGATTATTATTATTATTATTATTATTATTATTTGTGCCAGGAATTGAACTCATGACCTTGTGCTTGCCAGGTACGCACTGTGCCAGTGAGCTACATTCCTGGCCCCATCATAGGGAATTTGTATCTGTACATGATATATCTTGATTTTTCTTTTTTCTTTTTCCATACCTTTCCCTTCCTATCAATAGCTTTGCCCTCCTTATTTACAAAAGTGTTGTTTCCATTTTTTTCTTTTCTTTTTTTTCTTTTCTCCTCTCCACTTCCTGGTTCCCCTTTTCATTTGAACACTTTCTTTCTATTTACCAATATCTAGTATACATTTTGGTTCTTATTTACAGTGTAAGTTTCTCACACCAGAGGGACAAGGCAATATTTATATATGTGTCTCTGATTTATTTCACTTAAGAGTATGACTGTGCTCCATCAGTTGCGCAAGCCCTGCCCCTGGATGTGCTGAGAGGGCCCCAAGTGTGCATGCCTGTAAACCCAGTGCTGGGGTGGCTGAAAGCAAGAGGATTACTACAAGTCTGAGCTGTGTAGTGAGACCCTGTCTCAAATTCATTAAAAAAAAAAAAGTATGGTCTCAAAGTGCATCCACTTACCTAGAAATGTCTCTGATTTATCCTCCTGTATGGCCAAGTAGGACTCTATTATATATAAAAAAACCCCACATCTTTATCCATTCAGTGGTCGATGGGGATTTAGGCTGTTTCCAAGATTCAGCTTTTACACACTGTGCCTCTATGAAGACGAGTGTGCATGTATTGTTGTGGAATTCTGCATTTTATTCTTTTGGGAAGATACCAAGAACAGGGATATCTGGGTCCACTCGAACCTCTAGCTTTAGTTTTTTGAGCAATCTCCACATGGATTTCCACAGTGGTTGCACTGGTCTATATCTTATTGAAAGCTCTAGTGTAGAGCACTAAAGCACCAATAATGTGAGAAGACAGTCTATAGAGTGAGAAAAAACTTTTCCAGGTGTTCTTCATACAAAGGAGTAATATCTATGTGAGTAGAGACTCTTTTTGTTCTCCCTTCTCCCCATTTTAAGATTGGTTGCAGGGCCTTGTACTCACTAGGCAGATGCTGAGCCTCTGAGCTCCATCCCTGGCCCAAATGACTAATAT